AACACACAAACAAGCTATTTATACAAGTCGATCTTTGAATTTTCAAAAACTTCCTAAACCAGTAAATGCAGGTAAGCAAATTATCTCTCAGAACATTGGCCTTAAATTTATATTTTGATGTGCAGCGACTCTATATAATGAATAATTCAAGAATTCAATTGTTTAAGACTTTATTTAATTTTTTGCATTGAATACCGTTTTTATTAAGCTATAAGAAGTTAAACTAATTCCTAAACTTAATTTTCTAGAAATAAGTCATTTTATCGAGCTTAATGAAGTGCCTGATATATAATTAGCTAACTTTTCTATTACCCGGCTTTGGTAAAAGCTGAAATGTTTCATAGTATTTAAAAATAAAATAAATCAAAATAAAAAATCAGCCGAAAGATGACTTTATAAAGTAGATTTGAATTCTGAAGCTTTTGGTATTAGAATATTTTTATTTTGTACTTCGATACATAATTCACACAATCGTTAAGAGGCGTTTAACTATTCATATTTCTATTGGTCAAGAACTCATTAAAGGTATTATGAATAAATGCTTTAATACTACTGTATTAAATTTATTTTTTTAGACGTGTTAATATACGAAATATATTTTCGTTTTGTAAATTGGTCATATCAACCAAATTTAAACTGGTTTCATTAATACGTAGCTTAAAGTGCCATATATAAACCATTTAATAATAAAAACTTTTGTTATAGTGAAGAATGTCAGTTGTATTTTAGGATTTAAGTGTTAGCTTATAAGCGAAATCTGTCTTTTTTTACAACACAGAATAAGCACCAGTTTTTCCAAGCTGTTGCTAAACGTAACATGCTGGTTCAAAATGAACAAAGACCCGATGAAGTCAACTTTGCTCCCGCTGCCACTCTTATACGACTCATTGAGCGATATCGTCTTTCAACAGACTGATTTGACCCCATTACTATCAATCGAGGCACTATCAGCCAGTATTGGGAGCGCATTGACCAGGCACAAAGACGACGATTACTTGAGCAAGCTGAAGATCAGCTTGGTATTAAGTCTACAAATGACTTATTTGAGAAAATTGAAAAATTATACAAGGACAAACACTCCACCGCAGACACACCATTGTTGCAAATACACCTCTGCATAACGCCATCTGTTGCATTGCAGTGGAAATTGCAAAGAAGCGGCTCGACTCAAAGTCCCTAGCTGTCCCACAAAATTTTTTCCACCCCCTGTAATTTTGACCAATCGAATTTTAAGATCAGGTGTAACGTAAAAATTGAAACGGACCACTTTTTTACAAAAAAACAGGAATAGCTCTAAATTTTTATTAGGAAACCACCTACTGCGGCCTAATTAAAAATGTTCTTCGTAAAATTTTACTACAGCCATTATATTTTTCTAACTATAACCCTAACTTTAACGCGGTTTTCTTGGATTTAATTTTACACGCAACTTTTTACTTAGAAAACAAAACAAGTTTGTTATCTTCCCAACAAAATTTTTACCATCACGTAATGTCCAACAAAATTCTTTTCGTTGATATTAGGGTTAGGGCCTATTTTAGTGTTAGAGTTAAGGGTTCTAACAGTAAATCGCTCAAGAAAAGCTTTTTATTAATGTGTAGAAGGTGGTTTCCTATGCAGATTTTGAGATACAAGCAATTTTTGACAAAACGAACATTTGTTTTGAATTTTTCTGATCGATGACATTACACCAAATCGAGATCAGGGATACAGAAAAATTTTCGAAATTTTTGAATTTTTTTGCAGATTTTTAAAATTGACCAATCAGAATGCAAAACAATATCACGTTATATCACGTTATACCTAATTTCATAAAATATAATCGAAGTATTGGCAAAGATAATCGAAATTTATCAAAAATGCTGACAAAATAATCGAAATTTTATCGAAATATTTGCAAAAAAAAATAATCGAAATATTTCTTTGTCCCTGATCGAGATTTATTATTGGCTTATTTTCATTGATCATCACGTGATGATAAAAATTACATAGAAATTATGAAATTTTGTTGGCGATCCTGGGGTAGCTATGTTTGTTTTGACTATCACGTTACACCTGATCTTAAATTTTGGTTGGTCAAATTTTCAGGGGGTGAAAAAAATTTTGTGGGACAGCTATCTAAAATGCTAAAGCTCAGCTCAAGCTCAATCTCATCTTCCGTAGGGTTGAGGCACAGGTAAAAAAATTGGCATGCCTTATATAGTTACATGACAAACTATTAACCAATCAAAATCGTTTAAAATTATTATTAAAAATCTATAATCTACCGATATAAATACAATTCTAGAACTTTTGAATCATATTTGAGATTTTGCATAGCATCCAAATACATATTACTAACTATAAGAGTAATTCTTTGAAAGATTTTTTTTATTTTATTTTATTTTTTTTGGTATTAAGGTGAGACCTTGCTCGTATCTTTATTAGTAATTTAAAAATAGTAATTACATAGTGACTATATAGAAATACTACTATTT